ATTTTGCACATTTCAGTCCATGAAAATACCTAGTGATAACCTTTGGTATTTCTGTGAGTGGAACAAGGTTCAAAGTGTATTTGGTAACAAATATTGATGAGTAACCTCAAATAAATTAGTAGGAAAGGGAAACAAAACTCTCTTCTTGAAAAAAAGTAAAGCAAGTTTGTCTGCAAATGGACTGAAATGCAGGAAATTTTTGGCCTGACTTCACATCGGACAGATGGTGGTAGAGCCAGAAATTGGAAGTCTCCCCAAAATTGCAAGGAAGTTTGCTAGTCTGCACTCCTCTCCAATTATCAGTGCATCTTTGTTAGATACAGCAATTAATTCAATCCTGCTCTTCCATTACTTTTTTTTGCAACTATCTCGAAACATATCTATTTATATAAAAAATAATTTTTTTTATAGATTCATTTAGAAAAATAATTCCTTTTGAGAGTAAAAAGCTTTTTTCAAGAGGATTCTCAGGCCACTTGATGAGCCTCAATGCAAAAATACCAAAAACGTTGAAAATCAGTTACCGTAATTTCGCTGAGAAACGCCGCCCTGGCATATACGCCCCGCCCCAAAAAATCGACTAAAAAAACTTTTCACTGGATACCCTGCGGCGAATTTTACTATACTAATGAAGGTATTAATTACAGACTTAACACATGCTCTAAATACGCATATATATATATATAATTTCAATAGTTAAATGAAAACCAATATGTATAAAATAATTAATAAATGAAAAAACCATTAAAATATGTATTAAAATTGTTAAAAATAAAAATGAAACAATCTTACTTTTAAATCAGCAATCCAAAATCTTGTTTTTGAAATTAATGATAAATTCAAACAAATTTTGTTCAAAGAAAAACTAAAGAATAATTTATTTAGATATCCCATATCACTATATATTCATATCACTGCACTTAAAATCCCACAAAATCAGAACTCCCTATATAAGAGCAAAATAGATTTATTAGTTCATTGTTTATTTCGGGTTCATCCTCGTCACTCACACTTTCAGCATCACATTCGGTTTCCTTTTGTCCCCAGGATGATTTCCACATTTTTGAAGCCATTTATCACAGTTTCTCTGTCTCTAACAAAAATATTAACAAAAGGAAAATAATAATAAAACAGAAACGCAACAGGAGATCAGAATAGAAGATTAAATGATAAAAAAATAAGCTGAGGAAGGTGATCAAACCCTGAAGACAGAAATATGAGCAATGAAAAAAAAGCGCTCTCCCAAGCATTTAAAACAATTTTCTATATTTCCTATTTCCTCCCCTTATTTTCGCTTCTCAAATCAGGCTTCAGAAAACAGCTCTTTTTTAAACTGACTCCGCCTAGGACAGTCTTTCCTTTATCCATGTGCAAAATTCTCACACATTGCTTTTTTCCCTCTTCACTGACCTTCAGTTGAAAGTTTGAAATTCTTCATAATAAGGGGAGTAGAGAAGCATCCCATGACAAGTGGAAGAGTCATATTTCCTGGAAAAAACGGGGGGGGGGAGCGTTTGCTTTACAGCTGACGTTATTACTGACCCCACCCTGATTTTCTTCATTCATTCCTCTCTGATTTATGCTTCTCCACTCCATGCCTGTTCCCCTACACTCAACAGCTATTCATAGGGCAGAAGGGAAGGAGAGAATTTGTTCTCTTGTGGATAGTGGTCTCCAGAAAGTGATTCCAAGAAAGGAAAGGGAGGGAAAAATTCCAGGTGCATTGAACATTCTTTTGAGTAACATTAAGCATGAAAAATAAATAAAAAGCACTAGTAACAGGTGGAAAAAATGATAATGAAATTCCAAGTGGGGCTTCTAAAAAGCAAAATTTTCTAAAGAAAAAAAAAGTAATACGATATAGGCTAGGGGTGCACAACCTTTTTGAGTGAAGGGCCACTTGCACAGCAGGTTGGCTAACGAAGGGCCGCCCATGTATTTAGACATGTTAATGACAAATGTAGAAATGTTTATTTAAACATTAGGGTTCCATTTTTTTATCAATAAACCTAGTAATATCAATAACTTAGTAATGTTCCATTATTAGAATTCATTCAAAAATAAAAAAAAACTCAAAATTTTTTTTTTTTACAAAAAAAAAAAAAAANTTTTTTTAAAAAAAAAAAAAAAAAAAAACTTGCTATTTTTATCCTATGAACAATAGATTTATCAAAATAAATAAACATTGAAGAAATGTATTTTTTTTTTATCATATCATGCAATATGAAAATTCATTTTAGAATTAAATTCTAATAAATTAAAAAAAACTGCAATGCCCACAGAATGAAAGTAGGAAAAAGTTTAGTCTTAATTAAGTAATATAAATTCAAATTAAATATTTTAATTGAAGAAAATTTATAGGTTTTAAACAAAAGCCTAAAATAAAAACAAAACTGTGATAGTTCAAAATAAAATTCAATGCTTATTTTGTAATGTACTTTATTATTTTATTTTATTAATTATTAGATTTTTTATATCGTAAACATTTTCCTTTTTTTTATCGAAAAAGATCACTTAAGCAACAAAAAATTGAAATCTAAACTACTAACAGTGAGCAGTTTAAAAATTCACGTTTTCCGCCATTTTATGAATTTCTCAAGTTGCAATAACATTGCATTTAAATTAGGGA